ATTATGTGGGAGAGGATAATAGAATTTCCTAGTGGTGCACTCATGCGGTTACATCAAAATTCGACATGGTGCGCGCGCAATAGGAACATTTTGATATTATATTCATCGTCTATACAGTACAATACAATAGTGAGTCGTCATTGACGAATGCATAGCACCGCTCGTACAGTTCGTACTAGCATAAATAACATTTGCAACTCCAAAGTCGGAACGAATTTACCCAGGGTGTCCGGTAAATTAGGCTGCAATCGGACGAGGGTGTAATTTTGTGCGAAGAAAAGGGAGAACAAGGAAAATACCGGAGAATTTTAACGGAATAAGTTTTTTCTTCGACCACGATCGTCGAGGAAAATGGTTGTCTCGAAAGTATCGTGTGTGTCCATTTGATTATATACAGAGTGTATATCGACAACTTTTCGAGAACAAATATCAAATAGATGTGCTTCGCGTGCTCACCGCCGCGGTAGCGCGCAAGTTTCTTCCTTCTGAGGAAACTTGACTAATAAATAATTCCTTGTTAAGCCGTCCTCGACTTGAAAAAGAACGATCGTCTTGATGCGCACGAGTAAAGAGACCGTAGCTGGGGTGGATGCTGCGGGCGGAGGAAGCGAGGGGTGGGAGACAGCGGCAACAACGGGGTCGACGATAATAAATAGGACGATGGATTCAGCGCTCGCGATTCGGCGAGTTTCCGCGGCGCTTTTATATAAATAACACAGACGAAGGCGCAGCATGGCTCGTAAAACTGAATTATGTCCCACCTACTCCGCCGGTACTCCCGTCACGCCGTCCGTCCGCCACGCGCGGTTTTTCAGCGTGATTCGCCGCGGTCATTCGCCGCCACGTGTGCACGCGATCGTACGTGGTCTGTGCGGGCTGCATTCGCGAGCGAAGGGATGCCGATAAGGGGAGAGAAAGAGAGAGAGAAAGACCCGTTAGAAATACGATCGTGATTGACCGGCCGACGCGGAGGACAACTTTATCCGCACGGCGCGTTTCCTCGAGGGCGATTTTTAAATCCCTTTCGACGCGCAAGTGCGCGCGCGATCATCTATCCGCCGCTGATCGGAATTTATCGATCCCCACTTTTGCCTGCTAAGCTTTGTCAGCGTACGATCGTATTTCGCGCGGCGTGGTATCGCCACGTGAATACGAATTCGAGAGATTTTACGATGTCTCGTGCGGAGACTCCGAGTTTGCTCGACGGAATTGTATGAGAATATATTCATTAATTTTATTGTATCTTTTATGAAGATCTTCTCTCTCTCTTTCTCTCTCTCGTGCGCGTGCGCTTTTATTAATTATTGATGTTCTCAGCATTTTGGTAGCATAATATTAGCGCGACTGAACACGCGACGAACCACTCTTAAATTGCCTGTGTATTTTTCGAAATTGTTCTATATAGAAAAATGTTAAATACAGTCTGAGTGTTATCTTGCGGTGTATTTAATAGATGGTCCGTCCTCGCGACGATCATCGTTTCATTAATTATAGTCGCTTTCACGGGCTGGAGTTCTATCTTCTCAGGCGTTAGCTGCGATGGTAACACAAGGTGTTCTCATAGGGAACGAGGATATGGTCGTAAATTTTACGAGCGGCCGGTTAGATCAAGGTTTAAAATTGCATTGTGCTGGCTGGTAGCGGGAGACCTTTCATTTAGCCCTTTTTGTTAAAAATAGGGTGATAATCTTTAATCCTTACGTGAGCTAGAATCTTCAAACGGTCGTCTCAGTTTTAGAGTGCTAACCGGCGGCTGTTAGTAAAATCTCGCCGGGTCAAATAGGATAAGTGGGCCGGATAACGATTATACTTAATATAGGATATCTACTATCTGAAATAATCACGGAATTTTTTTCATCGAGTTAACCGCTGAGTAGACATCTCTTAAAACTTATTCTGTCGTGACTAATCTCGTTTTGGTATCGGTTTGGTGATCAAACAGTGCAATTTAGGTCGAGTCTCTTGAATGGACAATTATATTTTTTTGCGGTCATCGGAAAAAGTAGCCCTTTTTCTCGGTTCGATAACACCGATGAAATAAAACGGTAGTTTTTCCCACGAAGGCGCGCGACTGTAAAACTTTAAGATTTTCGCGTTTCCGGCGAAAAGGCTCGCATGATGTCCGCGAGAGAAGAAAATGTCGCAACAAACTCATAATGCAGTAAGGAGGTATTTCATGCGTTGCCGTAAAAACATTCCGAATATATCTCTCATGGCGTAGCACATCTGAATGAAGAATAAACTCCAAAGAGAAATCAGCGATGCGTACTGTCTTTGAAAGCTCCGTCCTTAGACCTTGTCGCCGAAATAGGGGATCCATTATTCATCGGCAACTTCGCAGGATTTTTCTCGTGCAAGCCCTCGGACATTTTAGTAAGTGAATTTTACTATGCAGACGAGACTGCGCACCGAGGAGGGAAATAGCGCGCGGAATATTCACCTACAACGCGCTGCACTTTTACGACAACTAGCGACGGCTATACGAAGGATTCCTTTCTTATCCGACACACGGTCTAGCAATTGCTGTTTCTACCCTATGTATGTATATATTCGGTGCTCCTTTGTGACCTATCGAGAGATACGCGGTCCTGTATTTCCAAAAGGATAACTCGTGCCGCGCGACTCGTGGATCTTTTAGATTTCGATGTCGATGTTATCCCGCAACGCAGAGCGTAAAATTGAGACGACTCGCTTCACAATAGATTATCGAAATAGAAACATCACAAAGGGGAAGATACCGTAAACGTATATTTCTGAATTTACTAAAATTTATCGTACTGCCGCCCGATCATATATTTATATCTTATATGAAGATAATCGCGGCGTGAAATCACACTTCTTGTGGATTTCGATGTCGACGTTATCCTGCTTTGCGAAGCGTAAAATTGAAACGATTCGTTTTATAACAGGTTATCGGAATGGAGATTTTATAAAGGAGAAAATAACGTAAACGCGATATCTTGTATTATATGCATTTAGTTAGTTTACCGTGACCGTGTTATCATATATTGATATTCTAAAGCGAGATAGTTCGAATTAAGTAGCGCGGCTCTTTCGTCGGTCAATACGTCAGACTACGTGAAACTAGAAGTAATGTATATTCTTTGACGTGTGTCCGTACATGTGGTCGCCTCTAATTAGAGGTGGAATATACGTCTCGGGGTCGCGGTTACGTGCGTTGCAATATTTATTTTCTTCCTCTTTGTTTGCGGATATACCTTGTGCCCTGACGATGCTGTCACTTTTTGTTATTCTGGAAAATGTTCGGGTCTCTTTACGGTAAACCAATTTTTTGTGCTTTACAATCAAGCGGCTCATCCGCCTTGTTTCTCTATTTTTAGTTCATTTAACTGATGATGTTCTTTCCTTTTCGTTGCTACAACGCAATAGAACATTGCCCATTCAAATTATCGTGTTATTTAGGCCGTATTCCCCTTTTTACTGGCAGTGCTGCTAAGATGAAGTCATTATACTGTATTGCCGCAGTAGTTCTGAAATTACTTCACTACTATCAGTACTGTCATGACGTCATCATGTTCGAGGACACGTCGTACACACTCGCAGTATTACCGAGTGATGCGGTGCGTGTTGGCATCACCGTCTTAACGAGCCGGTCTTTTAATTCGCCAGCAGTGTGCGAAATTCTCAGGAATTATCTCCAATCCCTTGCCGTATGGCGACGGCGACGGCGAAGCGGAATCGTTTCCGTGTGCATGCTCATCAGTCTACCGAGGACAACGTGTTGAGGCATATAGGAAAGCGAGGAAACTTCGCTACAGCGAATTTCCATTTAGAGAGATTTCGCGATACCCGCAGAGCCGGTGTAAGTCTTCGCGGATTGGCGCGAGATAAGGATAACTTCTAGCGCTTTCTTTCGTTGCAGATTGAAAATAAGTAGGTACAGATTGTGTGATAATTCGACTCTTGTGTCGCGTTTCGTGGCGCCCATTTGTTTGCCCTTTTGTTAACGAGACAGGCCTCGGCTGTACACACGATAGTAATCAGCTTCTCTCCGTTAATGCGCGTTGTTTCCTACGGTTCGTGTTAGAAAACGAGCGCATTCTTACACGAGATGTCAACGTAACGTTTGCAAGTATATTCGAACTTTTTTTGGCGATTTTTAATACCTAATAGGACGTCATAGGTACGCGTGAGATATATGTACGTATAATTTTTCTACAATGTAAATATGTAAGTAATTTCCGTGGTGCGTACTCTGCCTACACATCGGGCGGTAAATGTGATCGTCCAAATCCAAAGTGAAATGACGTCATCTACGCGTGGAGTTCAGAATCGAGTAGCCGCATTTCACGTCGTACCGTCAGAAAATAGCCCTTTGTATGTAAAATTACGTTATCATGCACAAGTCGTAATATGAGACTTTATATTAACGCGAAGGGGTGCACGAGACGCAGAGGGCGCGATTAATTAAGCAGTCTTAATATCCCGTAAGAAACGATATTAAACTATGGTTGGTTAGAGACGGTTAAGCGCGGTTTCCGCGTTGTAACGAGATAACAGTACCGTATATTAATAAAGGCTGATCGCGGAAATTGCGGTTTCGGCATCATGCGTGTCCTTCGACGTAGGGTTTCGGCATGGGCCAAGGGTGAATTGCAAAGGGCGATCCGGGGCCATTTATTATCCCCATTATCGTGCTTCTGACCTCACTGTCTGCTCCCTCAGGACTTGAACATACCTATAACATACAATCCCCTTTCACTCTCGACAATGCTGCCCTTGTCTCGCTGCCGAAATATAGTCGACAGCATCGATAGGCTTTGGAACCATGTTCGATCGTGTTTCGGCAAGCATTTGTCTGTCTACCATCTACGACAATGTATTGACAAGAGAACAATCTGATCGGAAGGTTTTAATTAGCGGTGTTAGTATCCGGGACTCGGGTAACATTCAAGATACCGGACCATAGAGTCATATTTGATTTATTAGATCATCAATTTTTCTACAACTATAGATATATAATTACAGCGATAATTTAATGAAAAATACCATAGCATACTCGTAGTTATTTACAAAATTAAAGGTACCCTCAATGCATTTTTAGTATACTTTCAATATTTATCAAGTTTTGAATCTGATTATTAGATTTTCAAATATATACAGAGTGATTCATAGATGCATGTCTATGTTTCGGGGAGTGAATATATACATTAAAGTAAGTGAAGGGCGTAATGTGAACGTGGTCCTGCATGCCTTGATTTTTGAGTTATGGATGATTGGGAAAGATGTCCGCCTTATGCGTCAGCACGGACTTTAGCATTGAATTCTGCACTCGCTCGAAAATACAGAGTATTTTTCAAATAGTCACAAATCTATTTTGTATTCTTTCTCGCAGATCGTGCACATTGTTCACTTGCGTTGATTACACAGTAGATTTTAAATGGCCCCAAAAATAAAAATTTGATTGAGATGCTTGATTCATATCGATGAGTATTGTTTGTAAATATTAGATTAAGGATAATTAGATTAAATATTATATATTAAGGTCAAGAGGTGCTAAGGTGTTTAGTAATATGTGTTGACGCACGAGGCGAATACTTCGAACGTTTTCTTTGGTTATTCATAATTTCAAAACTGATGTGTGTAGAACGTGTGTTCATATGACGTTTTTTGCTTGTTTGGTTGTTGATTCGCCTCCTGAAGGGTATGCCCCCCCCCCAGTATGAGCATGCATTTGTGAATCACCCTATATATATTGATATTGACAGCACTAATTTTAACATTTTGTCGCATATATACTTTTGTGTGTGTGTGTGTGTGCATTAATTTGCATATGTTGATTTTATAAATATCATACAGATTGTCCATCTATAAATTGTTCTTAACGAGTTAGTCAATTTCTAATTTTCGAAATGTTCCGGCAACTCCGAATAAATCATCCGCATTTATTACGCAATCAGTTCGGAGAAACTCGTTATTCTTAAGTTTTTCTTGTTTCAGTAACCAGTCTCGTTCACTTTTTACTTTTGCAAACCACATATCTGAAATATAATACAGTTAAAATGAAGCCTTTCCGATTTTAAATCATTTTCCTACATCCAAATAATGAACAATTAGATTTTTTAATTTAGGTATTAACGGATTTTTGTATGTTGTAGAGAATAAATATTGCTGTTGATAAATATTGAGGAAGAGCGGACAATTTTTCACGGAGAATAGATACCAAATTAAAAGAACTTGTGTTTTGCGATACTTGACGTTTTGTCATCTAAACATTAAATTCATAAAATTTAAATTCACAAAATCATTAATAAATCTACGTGTTCATAATATCGATTGATGTTTTACCTGTTAGAGTTGCCATTGATAGTTCCTCACCGCCATAATCCTCCGGTAAAACGGATTTCGGTAAGATTTTTTGTAATGAATCTACCCCTGATTCGAGCGTTTGCATCTAAAAATTCACTGCTGGTCAAAAATTCATAAGTTTGCTTGAAAATTATGTTTTCTTTTGTTCTACCAAATGCGGAACAAAATGAAAATGATCATAATATCATACTATACAATAAATGCGAATTTTCACAGTATCATCTCTACTCACCCTCTCATGAAGTTTTGGATTCATAAACAGTTTTACCATCGTCAATAAGTTATCGATATACGTCGGTGCGTTCATAAAATAAATTGCTTTAATTCTTAAACCGTATGCCTCCTGAATAATTGAAACAATTCACAAATTAGTTTAAACATGATGGTATATAGTATATGTGCGACTACTTACCAGACAAAGATCACATTTTTTTAATAAGCCCGGTGAGAATTTTAATATATGACCAAAAGTAGTATTAGTGCAATCCCAAATGACTAATTCAGAATTCATTACGTCTTCTTTTAGACGTACATCTAACATCATGAAAACATATCTGTAACATAAAAAACCGCGTTATATACGCGTCTTTCGATTAAATTTTTCATCTTTAATCTATTTGTCTTTAATCTATTTTACGCATTCGACCTAAGTTCATCGTTCAATATTGTATAGCGGAAAAGTATATTTAATTTTTACGACGAAAAATTGATAATTCAAGAAAACATTGCGACGTAGTGGTGATCAATGGAGACGTGCATTTTTTCTTGAAAATTATTTCCAACAAAAATAAGAACAGTTGTCATCCGTTAAATTTCGGTGGCACGATTCATCACGAGTTTTCCCCATTGATCGAAACTGCGGATATACAAGAGCGTGCGCGGGAAATGCGACTACGATTTGAATGGCTTCGCGAGTTTCGCGCGGTTTTTCCCTTCTTATCCTGCTTCGCCAAAGTCATCGATTTCAGCTTTTCCTCTCGATATGTGTCACCCGGTAGAGTGTAACTGTAGAGATAGGAAGAGACGAGTGTAGAGGTGTGTATCTTGTTTCTATCTCATTATCGATAATAGCAGGCAAGAGAGAGGAGGTTACGTGTTTAGTCTTACGCGAATAGAAAAGGAGATGAGGAAAGACAGGCTGGGAAGAGAGGAGAAAAGGAGATTCCAAAGATTGCGTGGAATAAGACGGCGGGATCGATCCACTGTGATTGGATCGGCCGGATGGCGTCTCGTGAAAACGCTCGGACGGAAATTACTCGCGGGCATAGTAACACCGGTGTTAAATAATCATTTCGTCGAGCACCGAACGCGAAGATTCCGATAATATGGAAAGTTCATAACGCCGCATGAAATAGGTCACGGTTTTCCTCTCTCTTCGCTCCTGTTTCATCGTCCTCGTCCTTTATGTCGGCCGGTGAATGCAGCGCGTATTTAAATTTATTTTTATAATATCCCGCGACTCACTACAAGTAATTTCTAATAGTTAGGCGCAATTGTGCTATTGTTGTGCGACGATATACCTTCGCGACGAGAAGGTTCCGATTTTTTCGCGGAATAAAATTTTGCGGAAACTTCAGTGTCTTTGAGGTACCGATATGATATACTTGCTTGCATAATTTTTACGTACTTCAACATATCTTGGAGATGAAACAAAGAGGTGTTATTGTTTATCCATCTCATGATATGGATTCTGTGCTTTTCCGGTGATAACTGTGGTAGAGTTACCCATTGCCTGCCAGTGAATATACATACATGAAGATACATTTAACATAAAAACAAGAATTCGATTATACACAGATAATGATCAATTCATAATTATCGTAATTCTTCATTCATTTTATTAAATAAAGCTTTCTTATTTATTGTCTGTATTTATTTTATACTTTATAAAAAGTATTCTCTAAATTATTTTATAAAATACACAATTAACACATTTACTTTGGAAAACGAGATACTTTGTCTTTAAGTTAAAATTATCCGAAATAATTACGTTAATATCCATTTGTATACACACAAATTATAATATTTCTTATTTATCTTTTTTAATATTACATTAAATTTCAATTAGTATTTCTGGTTATCACTTTTAGTAATCGTTTTTGTATATAAAATGTTATGAGAATCAGCATAAGAGAATATAAAAATGACATGATTTATACTTACATGCATTTGTGAAATCGAGCAACATTGTCGCATAGCGGGTCATAGTCTGCGAAAAATTCGGGAAGCAGAGTACGAAGAGTGTATAGCGAATCTATACGTTTCTTAGCTTTTTCCAGATTAAGTTTTGAAGTTAAAAGAATGGCTTCTAATTGTTTGTCCGAAATCCCTGTAATTTATATTCATTATTACGGCATATTAATACACATCGTTTATTCATTTATTTATATAGTTAGTATATTAACACTTTAATGGCCGCTCACATAACATGTGTGTGATAGCCGGAACAACATGTGTATGATGCTACCGCCGAAGAAAATATTGCCGGTCCCTGACGACGTTTGACTGCGTAGACGTGCGGCCATTAAAGTGTTAAAGTAGAATATGCCAAAGTTACTTAGTCATTAATGATTGAATGCAGGCAAACAACATCCATGCTTCACGAATGACAAAATAACTTGTTTTGTTAGAATGTAGACAATCGGCATCCGTGCTTCACGAATGACAAAATAATTCGTCATATAGACATTTTTGTCTTAAATATAGTTAAATACGTTTCATTGATATGAGCGCGGCATGTAAGAAATTAATCAAAAAGACTCATATGAATCTTAAAATGCAAACCTTGAGGTAGATGAAGTTGTTGTTGCAGCCATTGTCGAATCTTGTCCAACATCTCTTGAAATAGTTGCTCGTCTCCTCCAACTATCTCAGCTGCTTCCTTAATCGTGATAGTTTCTAACTTGATCATGTTTATGACACTGTCTGTTCCTTACCAAATTATTTTAGATAGGCTTAATCTAAAATTATCCCACATATGTTATGTTATGCGACTATATCGAAACATTTTATCTTTATTAATCCTTTGCACTCGAAGGCTCCGGAGCGGAGCCATTTAAAATTTGTCTTCAAACTCTTCAAACTCAAATGCAAATAGCAAGAGCGGAATATCCTATACACAATAGTTTTTATGATTTGTCTTTGTCCTTATGTTATGAACTGAAAGTTATTTGCATTGTCTCCATAGCGGAGTTCTCGAGTTTGAAGACAAATTTTAAATGGCTCCGCTCCGGAGCCCTCGAGTGCAAAGGGTTAATTATTTTTATTGTTATTATATTTAGAGATATTTCACCGTGCTATTTCAAAATTATAACTCAATTAATCTCTGAATCTTTTTACTTACACATTTATTTTATATTTAAATAAATTTTAATTATTTTTTCTCACTTTCTCTTTTAAAAATAAATATTTATTGTTTTAAGACGCAAATATTTGAATTATATATATTTTTTATATTATAAATAATAATAACCACAAAATTTTTTGTATTATAAATAATAATAACCATAAAATATGATTTATACGTTACCGGCCGGTTATGAGATAGAAATGTTATATCGTATTTTTTCACAACTGTTTTCCGTTCGACGGTTATTTCTCGACTAAAAGAAAACTCGTTGAACGTATCATATAATACCTTGATATTCAAATGTGTTGCTTAATGAAAATAATGTCAGGTACGCGTTGACGTAGACGATGTAAATTTTTGCAGTAAAAAATTTAATTCATTGACGTTAGACGTGCATAATTAATTACTAAACAAGCTCTTTCAACTTGTTGTTTATATATTCTTTCAATTTGTTTTTATATATGACTGAGCTAAATTATAACGAATGATTTTATAATATGACGAAACTAATAATAAACACACTCGAGGGCTCCGGAGCGAAGCCATTTAAAATTTGTCTTCAAACTCGAGGGCTCCGCTATGGAGACAATGCAAATAGCAAGAGCGGAATGTCCTATACATAATAGTTTTTACGATTTGTTTTTGTCCTTATGAACTGAAAGTTATTTGTATCGTCTCCATAGCGGAGCCCTTGAGTTTGAAGACAAATTTTAAATGGCTCCGCTCCGGAGCCCTCGAGTGCAAAGGGTTAAACAGTGTCAAATATTAATTTGAATGACTTTTTCCGCAGGAGGAGGTTTAAAAATGGTGGAAGTTATATATAATATTCCTCTTCTTAGTTACCTTGGGTAAACGGGTTGTTTCAATTTTATTGATTGTTATTCCTTTTTGTTTCCTCGTTCGGCCTCGTTCGGTTTTCGCCTATAACATTACAGCGTTGACGTGCGCAATTTATTCTCTTGTGAAATAACTATTCACGGACATCAGCCTGGTTAGTACAGTGTACAATTATGTAAAAACTATGCTAATAGAAATTGTATAAAGAAATCTATTTATAAAACCGGAAAATAGGAAAGATAAAAAGTGAAAGGTGGAATGGCGGGTCGAGGTAGTGCGCATGGTCACGGAGGCTTCGGCAAGGATGGCAAGATAGACGGAAGGAATCTTACCAGCGAAAGGGGGATTCGGTCATGATGAAAAAAAGCGTGCGTATTATGCAAATGTAAAAATGTATGCTAAACGAATCGCATACCGGTTACGCTGACTAAAATCGATACGCACTTACCGCCGCGGCTTTTGTTTTTTCGCCATTTGCTACTCGCGTTCGACAGTTAACCTCTTGACATTCGGCAAGGATGGCAAGATAGACGGAAGGAATCTTACCAGCGAAAGGGGGATTCGGTCATGATGAAAAAAAGCGTGCGTATTATGCAAAAATGTATGCTAAACGAATCGCATACCGGTTACGCTGACTAAAATCGATACGCACTTACCGCCGCGGCTTTTGTTTTTTCGCCATTTGCTACTCGCGTTCGACAGTTAACCTCTTGACATTCGGCAAGGATGGCAAGATAGACGGAAGGAATCTTACCAGCGAAAGGGGGATTCGGTCATGATGAAAAAAAGCGTGCGTATTATGCAAAAATGTATGCTAAACGAATCGCATACCGGTTACGCTGACTAAAATCGATACGCACTTACCGCCGCGGCTTTTGTTTTTTCGCCATTTGCTACTCGCGTTCGACAGTTAACCTCTTGACATTCGGCAAGGATGGCAAGATAGACGGAAGGAATCTTACCAGCGAAAGGGGGATTCGGTCATGATGAAAAAAAGCGTGCGTATTATGCAAAAATGTATGCTAAACGAATCGCATACCGGTTACGCTGACTAAAATCGATACGCACTTACCGCCGCGGCTTTTGTTTTTTCGCCATTTGCTACTCGCGTTCGACAGTTAACCTCTTGACATATAATGACGTCTGGGAGATGTCATTCATTTCATGTACCATTGTAGACTGACGTCTCCGAGATTTTAAATAAATTCTTTTTGCATAATAAGTAGGAAATCATTGGACTTAAGGTCAAAGTTTATTTCTTATCAAGTTATTTTGGTACTAAAAAATCAAAATAATATTCATGCGATTCTGCGAATTATATTTGCATTTTTATGATCATGTTTACCACATGTTTACCACACTCTAAGAATATTCATCAGCTAAGTTTTTTTTACAATAATTAAATATCATTGCGGCAGTCAAGTAGATGGTGCTACAGTTTTATATTAAGACCATACACCACTTTCTTGCGGAAGAGACTATATATATATTAGTATGTGTGGAAAGAAAGTATGATGAGAATAAGGAATAAAAATTACGTATTGAAGTTTCCCGGAAGATTGAAGACACTTATATTAGGGTGTTCGCTAAAAGATTTGAAAATTCATCTAATCGTCATTTCAGCTTGGAAAATTGAAAAAAATCTATCGAGGACACGTTTGAAAAATAAAAGGAAAAAAGTTGAGTGATTGAACAATGCAATTTTTCCCAGCCTTCGGCGTGTTTTTACGTTAATTGCTGCATAAAGTAAAGTCACTGCTCTGAAGGATCGACATTTTACATATTTTTTTACGGCGAAGTAATTAACATAAAATGTACGGATTGAAGCATAATGTTATATTAATTGTGGCGGTACGATTAAGGCTACAATTGTCTACGTGAATAACGGCCTCCATGTATATATAATATTCAAAGATGCGATGTTGTTAAAATTATGTAAAGGTTGTAATCTTTCTATAGCACGTTATTTTATTATTAACAAAAATGTTACTTTTATGGTAGACTATTTTTGTAAGTTTTGAATCCTATTTATATATATCTATCACTGTCTATTGCGTCTTTCAGTATGAATGTCACTGTGCATAAATGCTCCACTGGCTCCGCTGGTAGTGCGTATCACTTCTCATTCCAGGAGTTGCTCGATTTAGATTGATTTGAATCGATAGAGCAAGAGTGTGGCGTCATGGTTATCGGACTATTGTACATACGAATCGTTAGTAATATTTTAATGAAACTGGATGAAATGGTATTTTTGGAATATTATAAGAACTATGATAAAATCAATAAATTCATATTTATGGAAAAACATTCACGGTTAAATAGTTCATATAATATATTTTCATTTTTTTTTCTGGAGGGAGAGCAATACAGAAGTGATGAATCGATAAATTTTGTGATTACTACTACTATTTTGAAATACCCTTTCATTTGATTCCTCTCACTTAATTATATCTTATATTGGTATCTAAAAATACACAATTCATTATGTAGGTAGATTCGAATAATAGATTGAATCATTTAGACATAGCTTCCTCATATTCTATAATAGTAAAATTGAATTTCATAAATCAAGGTTAATAAGAGATTACATAGAGACCATTTTTTCTAAATCTTTAGATTTTTCAAAATTTTGTTGCAAGTTGTTTATGATTCAACCTAACACCTCTTTGGCTACGCCGCTACTAGGAGTAATTATCGTATAGCCATTAACAGTGACTAATGCAATACGTATTCATTAACATTAATTGTCATTATTTTGTATATAAATGTATGTCGGTGTACTTTACCATGCGAAAGGATGATAGAGTTTTGATGCTTCGGATTGAGTCTTAGTCTTATAAAAATATTTAAAAGAACACAGTACAATTTGTCTCACCAAGTTACTCTCGCAGTGTTTCTCGAAAAACTGACTGACCAGCTGTTCGACGTCTGCCTTTTATATCTAGAGTTCAGCGAACCTCAAAGACATCGGCGAGTCGGGTGTTGATTAAAATAAACTCCGCTTCAAAGTCAGCTTTCTGAAATGCCATCGGTTTTCGCGGCTATCGTTAACGCGATTGGTGTCGTAGGCTTTAAATAAAACGCCGTAGGCTTTAGATAAAATAACGCCATTTTCGTATACAAACGCAATTATGCCGACTGCTTTAGACACCTTCAAGGAAGGAAAGACTAAACATAAAATTATTATATATGTTATCTTATGCTACATATATCGTCTTTATCCGCTATCTCAACTTACTTCGCAAGACTTTTAATTAGAAGTTTTACGATAAGTGTGACCCGATACAACGTGATCCTGTAGACTGCTTAACGCGATAGTAATTTCGCAGAAACGAAATTTTGGTCGTGGGCATGAAGGCTGCCATGGTCGATGTGGTCTTACAGTCTCGCTTATCGTGAATGGCCGCTAAAAAAAAGCAAGAAATCGAGGTCGCCGAATGGCGGTTATCGTTTCCAGAGAACCCAGTCGGTGCAACTGGTTTTGGCTTGGCCATACGGTTAATGAAGGAGGTTACCCTCAGCAAAGGTTAATAGCACAATGGTGGGTCGTGTTTTCATCGTCTTGGTCATTTCAAAGGACCACCTGCCCTTTATGGCTTCGAATTTCTGAAGCATATTGCATGTAATCTCGGACGCGTAGGTAATGATTTATCGACGTCGTAGGTTAGCTTAGTTAAACGAAGTTACATATTAATTAACCCTTAACGAACGAGCGCATTTTTAACACGTTCATTGCCAATCACGCGATATCGCGTTGTTGTAAGCGCAACGATAAAGTATGTCAAAGACCATAAACGGGATCACGGCTCCGAATTACCAAACGTCGCTATGCAGAAATGCAACCTGGTATTTCTGCAATAGAGATATCGAAATCAGGATGGTCAGCGTCCTCATTTAGATAACGCTGACACATCAACAACGTCCCCTCTGATTAAGTCATAGGACGAAGATAAAAGGGGACGTAAGACCGGCGCGGTAGCGACTCACAATCTCAACTCTCGGATACCGACACGCTGTCGGACGCGTACGTAAAATTGTATCGGGCAATCAAGTAATAAACGACCAGTTCAGTTTTTATCAATCACAAAGCACTTTATTAAGTATCGCGCCTCACCACCTCCCTCCTGCTCTACCGCGCTGTGCCGGGCAATCCCACATTACCGCGACGTTTCGGACGCGTGATGCGAGTTCTCACCAAACGGCCGATCACGCGTTATCGCCTAATAGATATTTAGAGTACATAAATATGTACATAATAATAAAGGCATATAAATAATATATTAACTTATTTTGAGCACAATAAGAACTAAAAAAAAAAAAAAAAAATACGAAATTCCAATTTTCAGCTTGGCAATGAACGTGTTAACGTGCGTATAATGTCGCGAATATGGCGGCAT